TTTTTTTTTTTTTTTTTTTTTTTTTTTTTTTTTGTGTGTGTGTGTGTGTGTGTGTGTGTGTGTGTGTGTGTGTGTGTGTGTGTGTGTGTGTGTGTTACTGTCCTGTCATGTATTGCTCGTTGTTGTTAATTATTCTTTTTTTTTTAAACCACTGCTACCTCCGGGCCTCTTTTTGCCGAAGCGAGGCGGAAAGGAGCTGCACGCCAAGCTTTGCCAAAGTGCTTGTGCAACCCTTTCTTTTCTCTTTTTTTTTGGCCCGCGCCACCAGCCATTTTGGTCCGGTGATGACCGGCCTCCGAAGAATGCAGTATAGGTTATATTTTCGTTTCGAGTTTGCCTGTGAAAGGTAGAGGTGGTTTAAGGGCAACAGAGACTTTTCATCTTGCCCGTCTTAACGTGTGGGTTGCTTCACTGTGTGTGTCTTTTTGGAGTGCCCAAGCCAACTTGTTGTCGTCCCCATGATTCTTTCAATTTTTGTTGTTGTTGTCAATTTCAAATTGTCACCCCCTGCCCCCTCCTCCCCTCCCCTCCGCCCTCCCCCCTCCCCCCTCCCCCCTCCACCCACCCACCTGTACATACACAACCGCCACCTCCAGCAATTATGATTGCTTCTGAGGCCTTATCTCTCCTTCATAATTGCTGTTGCGTGTGTGCCTTCGTGGTATTTACTATTTCGGCACTGTGTTGCCCAGATGCTGCTCAGATCTTGAGAAAGCGCTACTTCGGAGGAGGTAATATGTTCGAGCCCGCTTGGTTATATGCTACTCATCTGGCATTTTTTTCTGGTGTGTTTCGTTTCGGTTTGGTTTGGTTCGGTTCCGTTCGGTTCGGTTCAGTTTGGTATAATTAAAAAGTGTTTTATAGTGTATACTGATTGCTGTGTTCTCTTGCATCCGATGTTGAAAATATCTCTTGAGCGGTTGAAGCATGCTCAGTACGTTGATGATCATTATCATTAAACTTACTTAATGAAGAAAACTTGGTCGAAATTTTAAAAAAACTTAAAAAGTAAATACGAATACATGTGGTGTGGCAGAATTTGTGCAGTGCAGTGGGCCTCGGTGGCAGTCTGGCTTTGCCAACAAAGTCAAGTTCAAAAGACTAATGATAAGCGCAAAGGGGGCAGGGGAGAAGGGGGGGGGGGGGGGGGAGGAAAGTGGAAAGGAGGAGGGGTTGCAAGGGGCAGCTTTTTCTCCTGCAACCCATGGATATTGATCCTAAGGGGCAGTGGAGATCGGCCCGTGGGGTTCAAAGGTGGATATCCTGTGTGGATAAGGCTGGATGAGGTTGTTCAGTTAGAATCAAAGGTGGATATCCTGTGTGGATAAGGTTGGATAAGGTTGATCAATGGTGGATATTCGATGTGGATAAGGCTGGATAAGGTTGTTTGGCAAGATATAAGTTGAAATCAGATGTGGAAACGGCTTTTCACTGTTTTCAGGCAAACGGCATCCTGCATCCTGCATTCCTAGGTTGTTATGTGGAGATCGTCGTTATGTCCTGGATGTACCTGGCTGCAATCATTACAGTCTGTCCTGGATGTATCTGGCTGCAATTACTTCCTTGCCTGGATGTATCTGGCCGGTCCTGGATCATAAGGCTGTTTTAAATGTTGTCTGTAATGCATAGGCGACAGTTCTTCAACTGCTCGGATGATATCTGGCTCCGTTCTTGCATATATCTACCCTACCCTACCCTACTTACCCTCTCCCTACCCTACCTTGCCCTACCCTACCCTACCCTACCCTACCCTACCCTACTCTACCCTACCCTACCCTACCCTACCCTACCCTACCCTACCCTACCTTACCCTGCCCTACCCTACCTTATGCTACCCTACCCTACCTTATCCTGCCCCTTCCTTACCCTACCCTGCCCTACCCTTCCCTACCTTACCTTATGCTACCCTATGTCACCCTACCCCAACCCTACTCTACCCCACTGTACCCTATCTTACCATACACTATCCTACACTTTCCTACCCAACCTTACCCTACCCTACCTTACCTTACACTACCCTTCCCTATCCTACCCTACCCTACCCTACCCTACCCTTCCCTACCCTACCCTGCCTTACCTTCCCTTACGCTAACCTACCCTACCGTACCCTATGCTAACCCATCCCACCTCACCCTTCCCTACCTGTGTCCTCATGCAGGGACGGTGGGCATCTCGATCGCCGATATTGACTTCATGAAGAGGCGTGAAACAACAGAGGAATGGCTTGAAGATGGGACCCTTCCATTTTTGGAAATTGCATCCCTTCAGCATGGCTACAGGTTTCTGAATCGCCTCGGAACAGCAGCTGCTATTTCAAGGTAAGCCTCACCTGCTAATGCTCAACTGGAAAGTTCTGCCGTTGTGATCATCAATAGGAAAGTCCGTCCGCTCCACTTGTCTAAGAAAGGAAGGATAATTACAGGAAAAAGAAATCATCGGAAAAGAAGGTAATCCATTGCCAGGTCAGATGTGTGGCAGGGCCTAGATCATCCATATCTGGATGGTTACACCCCTACAAGCCAGACTTCAAGCCAACACAATCAGTGAAATTATCTAAAAAGGATTCAAATGTTTTCAATTGTTAAGGGGTCTGGGGACCGTTTGGGGTTGGCAGCTAGAGTGGTGTTTTGCAGGTGTTTGTGGAAAGTGTCTGGCTTTGGGGGAGCTAGGAATGAAAGCCTAGGGAGAGGGTAAATCGTCTAGTAGCTAGGGGGGTAAGGTGGCGCAAAAGTTTTGTCGTCCCCTTCGGCGCAATTAGTTCTCTAATTCGACGCCCCCCCACCCCCTTCCTGGTTTCTTGGGAAAGTGTTCGATCCTTTTGAGATTTTCAACTTTAACTTCTTTAAGAAGTTTAGTACTTTTTTTTAAGTCTTAAGACTCTTAAGTTCTTAACTTTATTTAAGAATTTTAAGTTTATTATGTCATCAAAACTGACATCAAGTAAGAAAAAAAAAAGTGAGTGCAAACTGAATTGATAGAACATCCCAACAACAGGCGCGTGCTACGAGTTGAACTAAAAAGGTTTAATAAACTCAAAAATTTCAAGTTGAAACTTAAGGGTTACTTCTGTATTCCTTGCATGCGGCCTGGTGTGCTGTGCAGGCATACAGGGGCCTTAACCCGATACGCAGCGGCCGAGCTAAAGGGACTCCGGCATGGAAATGGGGAGAAGGTGTGTGTGCTGTATGGAAACCATGAAGCCTACACAAACTATGGGGATTGCGAGAAGCAGGAGGTAAGTTGTTTTTTTGCGCGTTATGTTCGACAAGCGCAATGACTTCTTTTTTTTTCGAAGTTTTTGTTTAATCTTCTGTGTGCAAGAAAGCGTTGAAACCAGTGTGTTTGTGCTTTGTAGTAGCAGGATTGTGGGCTAAGTATGGTGTATGCTTGTATGTATGTGACCATCTACTCTGTCTGTCTCTGTCTGTCTGTCTGTTGGTCAGTCAGTGGGTCAGTAGGTCGGTTGGTTGGTGAGTGGGTGGGTTGGTCGGTGGGTCGATCGATCGGGTGGTGGGTGAGTCAATGGGTAGGGCGGTCGGGCCGGCCGGTCAGCTGGCAGGCAGGCAGGCAGGCAGGCAAGCAGGGAGGAATGTAATGTATGTATATGCATATGGAATTGTGAATGTATGTATGAAGTTATTAACGTAATGTATGCATGAGCGAAATGAAGGTATGTGCATATGTATGTAGGTAGTTACGTATGTAGTTGGTTAGGTAGGTAGGTAGGTAGGTAGGTAGGTAGGTAGGTAGGTAGGTAGGGAGGGAGGGAGGGAGGGAGGGAGGAAGGTAGGTAGGTAGGTATGCAGGAATTCACATTTGTATATACGTAAGGTAGGTAAGCACACACTGATATAGGAGTATTGGGGTTGGTAAAAAAAATAATTATTTTATGTACCACTTGCCTATGTATGTGCGAATACCGACACATGTACATGCATGCGGATGCCTGCACGTGTGGTCATGTGCGGGAGTGCACTCGTGGATGTTGCATGCTACTGAGGACATGAAGGGTGAGGAACAAGGGGCTGAATCTGCTGGTTCTATTGAGAATATATACCAGGACAAAAGGAGGAGGAGGAGGAGGAGGAGGAGAAAGAAGCTGAAGAGATGGTGATGGCGAGGTGATGATTGCTGCTGATGATGGTGAACAAAATCGAAATCCTGACTCCTAATCTCAAGTCTGGGGATGTGTGTACATCTTTGTTTCGGTGAGATGCAGGGTGGTGGGTATGCTCAGGGCCCTGTCATAGCATTCAATGTGAAACGAAGCGATGGGTCATTCGTTGGAAAAAGAGAAGTGGAAAGATTAGCTGCACTTAACAGAATCCAGCTTAGAGTGAGTGCAATCTTCTTCCCATCCTCCCCACCCCACTTCCCCCCCATTACAGCGCTCAATTTCAAAAAGAGAAATGCAAAAAAGAAAAGAAAAGAAAGGAAAATAAAATAAAAGAAAAGAAAAGAAAAGAAGAAAAGAAAAGAAAAAATGGATGGGAAAAAAGGAAAGGAAAATGGATGAGATCGTAGAATGACACCTGGACAGTGAGATCAGAAATTGACAGTGGGGGAAGAAGGAACACGTGATAGATAGCCAGCCTTTTGCCGCTGGTTCTTGGGTTTTGATCAGGGGTCTTCAAGCACTGTCTTCTTCTATTCTTCCGCTGCCTCCTCGCACCAGTCACTTTGAGTCCTAAGGATGGAGGGCTCCTTCCATGGATGTGTGTGAACGTGTGTGTTTGTGTAGGGGGTGTGGTCGCACGTGTGTGTGCATGTGTGAGCGTGTGAGCATGTGTGTGTGTGTGTGTGTGTGTGTGTGTGTGTGTGTGTGTGTGTGTGTGTGTGTGTGAGAGAGAGAGAGAGAGAG